TGGTTAATTTTCAAGATGCAAACAGAATAAACAAAATTCTAGTCTCTGAAAATGTAAAAACAGCATGCAATAAATTTAAAGATGTTAAGTCAATGTGACTTAAAGGACAAGATAGCTACTTTAGTAATAAAATATAAAAGATGATTTGATATCATAACAAAAGTAAAAACTAGTCTTCAAAAAAGTTATGTCTTATTCTATTTTCTACTGCTATTACAAAATACCTGAGGCCAAGTAATATTTAAAGAAAATGTATTTACTTAGCTTACAGTTTGGGAGACTAAAGCCCAAGATCAAGTCTAATGCCCACAGATTCTGATGATGGCCTTTTGGCTACATCACCAAATGGTGGATGGAATCATGGAAGAGTCACATGAAAGAAGGAAAGATCAATCACAGGGCAAGGCAGAGAGCAAGAGGAGCACAGGGACTAGATTTGTTCTTATTATATTGACTTGCTCTCACAGAAACTAACCTGGTTCCTCCAGAACTATATTACATAATGCAATGTCCCAGTCACTCAAGAACCTTCCACTAGTGGAAGAACCTTTCACTAGTCCCCATTTCTTAAGTAATCTATCAACTCAACACTGCCACACTGGAACTATGTTTCCAGCACATGAAATTTTGGAGGACATACTCAAGTCCTATCCAAACCACAGCAATTAAGGACCAAATTTATAGCACTAATGGTGTTACTATTAATTTTCGACTCTGAGATAAAGTCATTTTTCAAAATTTTTATGTTGGAAGGTTATCTACAAATAATACAGGAAACAGAAATATCCTTAATTCTCTTTACGTGCATGTAGCTATTTTGATAGGTTTAAGACAGTCTCTGTACAATTTCAGCCTTTTTTCATAGAACAGTGGTTACATTATAAGCGATGATAGTTTTGTTGCAAGGATATGTTTGCCTTTTTTTTTCATAGAGAATACATTTGAAAAACAATGAGAAATGAGAAATGTTTATACTATAGAAATAAAGAATATACACTAGATTTTGCTTTGTATTATGATGTTTACTTTCTCTTTTGTTAAGACATCTAGTAGAAAGAAGCCCCTTTTACTGAATGTCAAACAGTATATTACAGTACTAAAAATTTAGTCCTTTTGTCAAGGTAAAGGTAATTTTATAAAGGTAATTATTTTTAAAAAGATAATTTTGGTAATTTTATTGATATGTATCAATAAAAAATAAGAAAAAAAGGAAACTGGAAAAAAAGGCCTAATATGTAAGAGCAGTACCTGCAAAAATAACTGAGTAAAAAAATTGATCAGATATTCTTGGCGGATCACAAACTAAAAATATTTTAAATATTTTATCTTAGTATACTGCCAGGAAGAACTGGCAAAGTGGGAACTTCCAGTTGCCTTATCTTTTTAACCACTTTCACTTTGGTATCCAGGACTCAGCCTTTCTATAGCTTAGCAAAACTCATCCTCAAATACTATCCAAGTGGGCTGGGGATGTGGCTCAAGTGGTAGCGCACTCGCCTGGCATGCGTGTGGCCCCACATACAAACAAATGTTGTGTCCGCCGAAAACTAAAAAATAAATATTAAAATTCTCTCCCTCTCTCTCTCTCTCTCTCTCTCTCTCTCTCTTTAAAAAAAAAAATACTATCCAAGTGAAATCTATCTATGTACTGTACAAAGACCTCTCAGAAGTTGATCTCTAAAGAGATCAGACAGTGCAATTTGAAGGTTTCACACCAGACACTTGGACTGAGGCAGATTTATTAATAGATTTGTAAGAAAAACTTAGATTCTTCCCTGGGTCTGCAAAGGTCTACTAGGTCATTAAAAGCAGGATAACAAGCTTGATCTATCTGACTCAATTTTGCCTGTCTTCTTTGCTCAGCATCACCTTGGATCCCAGGAGCAACAGTTCAGATCAAATACATATTACGATGAGGTGAAACCACCCCCAAGTAACAGTAACTTTCCTATTATTGACAAGGCCCCAGTTGACCAATCCTGAGATAATGGTCAACCTTACCAGTTTAGCCAAGACTGCTGCTTAATTATGCATATTTCTGGCTCACCTTGTCTAAATAATAATTACCTCGGAAGCTCTTGTCAGTGCCTTGGAAGACAGGGCTAAGAACATGTGTACCCTCATCTTCCTGGTGAAGCTACACTGATTACAACTCCTTTCCTGTTTTTCACCATTACTTTTTTCACTTGGTTTTTGACAAAAGTGGCTGGACCTGATTTGTTGGCATCCCCACAATTGGGCCTCTCCCCTAGGACTTGGGTAACAGATTTACTTCTCGATATGGGTAGCAATGATTTTCACATTCCCTAATATTCCTTCTTCATTAGCTGTTTGAAGAATATTTGAAAACAGAGATTAATTTTATCACTTCATCCATAAGATTTATGATCTCCTAATACAGAAAAGAGGCTTCTGGATCAGTGTGGTTAGTTCTGTTCTTGCTACTTATCTCTCATCTTTAAGACATTTGCAATTATTATTTAGCATGGTTAAACATATCATTTTCCTTGTCTATTTTTCACACACAAAACTGAAAAACAACCATTGAAAGGAAAACTCCACAGAAACTTGACAAGTTAAATCTCCTGTGTTCAAACACAATAATATAAAATATAAGGTATCTGCACTCTTTCAGTATCAGTGTCTACTTACAGGATGTTGCTAATACTTCAACAATGAAATTGCGAAATAAGACAAAGTAGATTTTACTAGTTCTTCTTGGCAGTATACTAAAATAAAGTATTTAAGACAGTTATTGTTATTCAAATATTTTTGTAAGATGAGGAGCATAAGAGATTTACGTAAATAAGATATTTAATTTCTTAAAAGGTAGGATTTCTGAAATTAGATTATTATCCTTGTAAACATGAGAAGCTGGGAAGTTTTTCTTTTACAAAGGCTTTTTCACAGATTATATTATTTGTCTACGCTTCCTTTGAGAAAAAAAATATTTATTGCAAACTAGAGGCCATTTAGGTTTTGAAGGTATTTACTGACAATTTCCTATGTATAGAGCCCCATGGTAGTGTAATTAACATTTTGTTATTTAAAAGTCCCTGAGTAGTTTGGTAAAAAAAAAAAAAAGTATTCAATATAAGCATAATTCATTATAATTGACACAGTATTCCACACATATCATATTTAACTTCTTAAATAATACAGTAAAATTATTATCCCCATTTTGATAACGAGAAAGCACTTAAATTAGAAGTTAAGTAACTTGCTCATTAGACAGTAAGCAAGAGTAGCCAGAACCCAGAACCTCAGGGGCTTTCCAAGACCCTTCACCATCTTGATTTTGTAATCTTCTTATAAAGAAAGTGTTTTGTTATCTTCTTTAGTACCCCAATAGTCATTATGTGACATACGCATGGGCAGTGATAAGTATTACAGAACACATTCCAGATATCTTGAGAAATAATCAGGAGAATAACATCTTAATTTAAATCAAAATGTGTTTTTGTGGTATATAAAATTTAAAAGTCTCCCAAAATATAGTTGAAGAACATAAAATATATGATTTTACTTACAAAATTCTAATTGCTATCCCTCCAAAATCATAAGCAAATTTTAATTACTTTACACACATTTTATTTTATATGTGTGATATGTGCAATATCTTCTCTCTAGACAAATTCTATGGAAAACTTAAAAATTTTAAGTGATGATGATTGAAGAATATTCCAGAACTCTGTTTTACTTTTTTTTTACTATATAGCATGTATACATATCTGACATCCTTTACATTTTATGTATTTATTTTATACTGTCTCCCCTCCTTACAATGTAAGCTCTATAGAGGTAGAGATTTTATCTACTTTGCTCATTGTTGTGTTTCTAATACCTAGAAAACTGACAGATAATATATTGTGGTTAAATAAATATTTTTTTCAAAAAAAAAATTCCACAAAAGAAAGAGGGAAGAAAAGGAGAAAGGAATGGAGGAAGGTAGGGAGTGAGAGCAAAAGGAGCAGAAAAGGATATGGTTGTGTACATTATATTAGTAAGAAAGTACAACTGGTAGCTTAAACTGTTAATCTCTGCTACTAAGTAATGTCCCTGGGTAATACTGACAGATATGGAGTAAAAATCATTTAGAATAAAATAAATTTTTAAAAAATTAAGGAAGGAAAGCTCATGAGAGAAAGAAAAGTGATATAAAAAAAACACCATAACTATTTCAACAATTGACATTATTTTATTTGATTCTTATAAGAAATCTATGAAGTAAGGAAACCTGAGGCTTGCTATAGGATACAGAAAGATTATTTTGAGAGCTCACTAGCCCACATAAACCAATAACCCTAATGATGGATACTGAGAGGCAGAGTAGAGTATTAAGTCAGGTTCTTTAATATCTAATTTTAAGTTTTTTTGAGTTTTTTTTCTACAAAGTAAAGACTGAAGACTAAAGAAGAGAAAGTAAATTATTTATTACCTCAAAATATTTTTCAGACCACTTTGGGGGCAATGTCATATTTTTTGCTAGTAAATATACTTATATATTTGAAGTTTTATTAATACACTGTGAAACTGTTATCTTAAAACACACAACATTATTTCCATTAAGAGATATCAGCAGTTAGGTACAGTGGCACATGCCTGCAATCCTAGCTATTCAGGGGCCAAAGCAGGAGGACTACAAGGTCAAGGCCAGTCCTTGCAATTTAGGAAGAACCTGTCTAAAAATAAAAAAGTAAAAATTTGAAGGGGTAAGGATGTAGCTCAGTGAAGTGCCCTGGGTTTAATCCCCAGTATCCAAGGGTTGGGAGAGAGAGAGAGAGAGAGAGAGAGAGAGAGAGAGAGAATAGCATACAACTTAATACCACCATCTCATTTTATTTTTGGAATTTATCCAAAGACAATAGGGAATTTTATAGAGATATAATAAGTCCAATTACTTCTGCTTATGCATCCAAGGATGGAAAACTTTTGCTGTGTGGACAATAAAAATGAAAGATATCTGGAGTCATTAATGAGAGATAATTTTAGAGACTTACCTAGTACTTTGCTGTAGTATGAATTCCATTCTCCCCAGTAGGATTGAAATATATAGTCTTGTAGATAATAAGATAATGTATTTCTAACCCTTTCACCAAAGGTCATCTGGTCAGTGAGCTCTGACAAGGCTGCAGGAACATAGGACACTGGTGCAGGGATTTTCCCACAGTTTCTCTCCACTGTTGAGGCTGGAGAAAACCTTAATGTGTACATAAATGGGATTCCTAATTTGAGAGCAACAAGGTCACCACAGATTGTAACTGGGTCTGCTACCAACACATCAAAACCACCGTTCTGAAGTCTTGCCATTAATGAAGGGTTGTTTAATACACCATCACAGATTTGTATATTAATTTGGAAAAAAGTATCTAGGAGTTTTCCTAGTTCTTTGTAGAAAGTCCACATTGTGAAAGGAGTTGGTCTGTGGTTTATCCACAGCATTATCATATGTTCAATTATGGAGTCTAGATTTCTTGTCTTATAAGAAACAGGTATCTCTTCAAACTTCACAGGAAAATTAGGACTGGAGTTGATGAGCAGAGTTTCTGATGAAGCCAGTACGGTGACACTGTGATTTCTTTGAATCAACTCTTCTATTATAATCTTAATATTTAACCAATGGCTACAATCTGTAGGCCAAATTAGCACGTTCCCACTTAGAACAATTTCAGTCAAAGTAAGATTTAAAATCAGCAGCTGGACAAACTTCTTAGACATGGTGATATTCACTAGGGAAATCATTCTACTGAAGATCTTTTAAGATGAAAAGAAACCTTCCATGTATATTTAGGTAGATTTTTTTTTCAAATAAAACAATGGTTAATGTGATGAATATACTCATTCACAGGTCAATTGATCTATAGGTCAAAAGGAAAACAATATAATTCAAATTCTTATATGTATAAAATGATTTTTCCAATAATAAAAATGAAATCTACTCCTATTTTGAGAAAAAGAATCAAGGAGGAGATAAGCCTAGTATACGTGTACTCTGAGATAATAACTATTATTTGTAAAATGTATCTTTAATATAGATTTCCCAAATTTAGATTGAAAAAATTTTAGAATCCTTTATTATATAAGCCATTGTGACAAAAATGATGGTTGTCTACATTATAAGGCATCTTTACATGTATTATCTTATTTAGTTTTTTTTTCACAATCTTGTATGGCAGAAATTATTTGTTTCATTTTGTGGGTAACAAAGTCAAAGGTTGAGTTCCATATCCGAAAGTGTATGATAAAGTAGTACAACTGGAGCTATAATCTAGCATTTTATTTTATTAATTGCTGAACCAACATTATTGTCACTTCCCCATAGTTCATATTTTTGGAGAAAAATAAAAATAACATCCTTCACTTAAAGGATGTTTGCTCAAACATTTCAAGATATTTTAGATCGACTCATGATGGAGTAAATTTCTAAACATTTGATAGAAAACAGTTTTCTGCTCTAAAAGAAATTATCATTGTATCCTATTCACTTCTTACAAAAGATGTTTCACTTTCTCTATAAGACATCTTCATACACATTTTTTTTAAAGGGAGACACAGCCTTTTTAATTTAAAGCTGTGGAGTAGATTAATTTAGGAGGATTCTTAAGTACAGTACCCTGTACCCCTAGGTTTAAAACTATTCTTTTACAAGCTATCAGACTAGAGAATTACCTCAACATTTTCAGCTTAAACTTGCTCAAGAATAAATGAGAGATAATAACACCAATTTGTTGAATTACTTTGTAAATTGGCAATCATATCTGCAAAGCTACTTTGAAAACTCTTTGGTTCAGAGCAAGGGTATAGACATGTCAGAGTTTAGTATATTTTCCTGAAAATTAGGAACTCAAAAACATTTATCAGCCAGGCATGGTGCCACATGCCTGTAATCCCAGAGGCTCTTGAGGCTGAGGCAGGAGAATCGCAAATTCAAAGCCAGCCACAGCAAAGAGCAAGGCACTAAGCAACTCAGTGAGACCCTGTCTCTAGATAAAACACAAAAGGGCTGGGTATGTGGCTCAGTGGTTAAACACTTCTGGGTTTAATTCCTGGTACCAAAAAAAAAAAAAAAAAAAGAATCAACTTTGATCATTAAATCAGTAATCTAGCAATATAACAACTGACTAGACATGTATATAGAGATATCAATTTCAATCCTTTGTGAATCCCAAACTGAACAAGTATATAACAATTCCATTTTAAAATTATTAGAGGCTGTCATTAAAAAGAGAAATGAGAACACAGTGATTTTAAAGGATAAAAACAGAAATTAAGAATGTAACTCAAATGTTGGGCTTTCCATTTAAATTTGGCTACTCTTAAATTGTGTAATTTTAGGCCCTTGGGTAACAAAAGGACCCAGAAGACAGATAAAGGGAAAAGGAAAAAGAGAAGTATACTTTCAGAATTAAATCTGTGTCCTCTGAAGAGTCAGCCTCGGTGGACTTCCAATAAAAAAATACTGTATCATATAAGGCAAAATCAAAAGTCTTTTCCATTGAATGACTGATATCTATATGAGTAAAATATAATTATTAATTTAGAATTTTACTAACAAAAGCTTATCAAAATACCTATCAGAACTTCAAATGCATTGTAACTACCCCTAAATTATTTGGAATCTAAAATAATGTAAGATTTCAAAAAGTGAATAAGCTACTTTTAAGTGTTCTCTGTGGGACAATAAAATAATTGTCTAGTAAAGAGTTTTAGGTACTATAATCGGTTAATAGTGAATTTATATGTTTTAAATTTGAAATTACACTTGAATGTTAAAGGGTTTAATTGGTATTAACATAGATGTCTCTTATATTTATTATCTGGTTTACTATATATCTAAAATGTTTCATAATTTCAAATAAAAAATAAGTCACTTTTGAAGACATATGTGTAATTTTAGAGACTTAAATATCCATATGTAGAAAAATAATAACATGTAAAATATGTTTGATTCCATGATAAAATGAAACAGTAATTTAATATTATTATGCTTGTTAACTCTATGGTTTCACTAATAGCTATTCTGAATAAGGTATGAGTAAGTGAGTTACAGGGATACTGTTTTGGAGAGAGTTTAGGTCCAACTTATGGAACACTATCATTTGCAAGAAGTAGGTCAAGAGAAGTTTAAATGACCTCAGAATCACATGGCTAGAAGGGGTAAATTAGATGATTATGTTATTATTTTGGTTCTGTCCAATGTTCTTCAGTGTTTTACTTTTAAAATCAAATAGTTGAGATATATTTCATAACAGTAAAAATACCGCATTTCACAATTGTGGCTACTTGAGAATGGAACACCTTAAATATAACTGAAGATTCCAGGAAACAACTAATAATTTTAAAATGTCTGTGAACTATCAATGTAAAAGTGCCACAAGTGAACAAGCCATAGAAAAATTATTCCAATTACACTATTGTCCTTGTATTCTATATTAAGTAGCCATTTTCATTCTAACATCTATATACTTTGAAAGAGAGGACTATGAAAGGTAATAAAACAGAATCACTTTTCTCAGAATCACATTTAATAAGATTGTGTATATAAACAGTTTCTAGTGAATGCTTAGTTCATCTGCTTGAAATTAGGATAAAAGTTTCTTAAAATGTGTGTGATGTTATTTAAACTGAGAATTCTTCAAATAACGTTTGTATAAAGTTTCTTCTTAAAAAAAAAAAATCCCTGCAAAGATACTTTCTTGCCTGATAAAAGTTTTCTTGCGTTACCTGAGCATTACACTGGCTAAGATTTACCTACGCTGATTCTTGTTTTCATTGTCTCCCAAATTTTAGAGACGGTCACTGAGGCCACAAAACCTGGAAACGAGCCTTCATGCTGTTTAAGAACAGGCATAATCAATGCTTCATCACCTTAACTTTTATCCTCCCAATGTTACTGAAATGAAAGTCTGGCTACCCAGTGCTTGAATGTCAATATTCAGGAGATGAGAGTTGAAAGGAAGAATTCAGGATTTTTGTTTATTTTGGCTGTACTGGGAATTGAACCCAGGGGTGCTCTACCACTGAGCTACATCCGCAGTCCTTTTTATTTGTTATTTTGAGGCACGGTCTTGCAAAATTGACCAGGCTGGCCTCACACCTGTGATCCACCTGTCTCAGCCTCCCAAGTAGCTAGGATCACAGGCAGGCGCACCATAATGAACCAAAAGGCAGCATCTTGAGATAAAGGGCCAGTATCTTTAGAAGATTCAGGGAATAACTCAAAACTCCATCTCTGAGTGGGAATATGCCTGAGGCATAAAGGGCTTTTATAGAAAGGGAAGGAGGAGCAGGTCAGGAAGGAGTGGAGTCCTGGTCATCAAGGCCTTGTCTTCTTTTTACTTATCATAGTGGACCTTGACTTCCTGGTACTAGCTCCTATATCTATTTTGAATTTTTCTTTTGCAAAACTGAGATTCAACATAGGGGTGCTCTACTACTGAGATGCATTCCCAGTATCCCCCCACATTTTCTTTTTTTTTTCTTTTTCTTTTTCTTCTTTTTTTTTTAGACAGGGTCTTGCTAAATTGCCCAAGCTGGCCTCAAAATTGTGATCCTTCTGTCTCAGCCTCCTCAGTGCTGGAATTGCTGTCATGTGCTACCTAGCCCAGTCAGGTGGGTCTTCTCTTTAGAACTTAAAATGCCCAGACAAAAGGGGGTAGACTTAGACTATGCAAAAAAGATTAGGAAGAAGAGCTCTGACAAGGACAGTTTCCCAGAGGGGCTTCCCAGTTCCACCATCAGGGCTTCAGTTTAATTGGAGTTCCTTGCTTAGTGTTTACTTAACTTTTGAAAGCTTAAATTTAAATTTACTTTTTTTTAAAAGAATTGTGTATAGAAACTGATTTTTTCCAATATTTCTTTTTAGTCTAGATCCTGAACTCAAATGATTCTCTACTTTCTGGATTGCAGCCTCAGCCTTTCTGGATAGCCTCCTCATTTGCAAACCCATGAGGACAATGAAACCTATTTCTTATAGTTGTGAGAAATGAGCGAAATAATGCATGTAAATTATTTAGAGTAACATTTGTGCTCAATAGATATTTGCTGTATATAATTCTGTGGTGGAAACAATTTTACTTTTAAAATGATAAAATAAATCAGATCTTATCACCTTGACCTACCATCTCTCCCTCTTCCTACAATGGCACACTGAAATTTCCCGAATAATGCAAGTCAGTCATGTTCAGTCTGCAGGCACATAACAAATAATGTGATATCAATAAAGTGACAAGCACCAAAGGTCACAAATGATTTACCTTAAGAAACATGCACATGAGTATACTCATAAAAATGATCATTTTCCTTTCATTCTGAAATACTTTCATAAATAGGAACAATGCTACCATAACAATGCTTTCATAAATGCTATCTCCGGAAACTATGAATGTCTGACAGCCAGTTCCATCTCTAATGCAGTACCTCTGTTGTCCAGCTCATGGGTCACTGCCAGAGAGTATTTGAAAGATTCTAACCAAGCAATATTAATGTAAATAAAAAATAAAGAAAGGAAGGAAGGAAGGAAGGAGAGAAGCAAGGAAAAGATTAGGAAGAAGGAAAAATAGGGAAAAGAAAATAGCTCAAATAGAAATGCATAACCTTTCAGGGAAAGGACTATAATATACTTTTTTTC